GAATCTTCCCTTTAAAAGGGATCATGTCGGATGTTTTGGACCATGAGAAAAAGTCGTCCATGAATACGAATAAGTCTTCGATTGAGAATTTTTTGATTGCGAGCCAGCACAGTAAGCCCGATACTGCACACCAGCAGCGAGGTGAAGCCCAATTGCCAAACACTAGTCAAAACACTACGTGGAATAGGCCGTCAACTTCAACCATTTGACGTAACTGCCAAATAGGATGAGCTGGTAGGTTCAGAAAAGCACTTTTGACATTGGACTTCCACGAGACTAGGGTTTCGGAAGGATTATTTTGCTTTGCGCTAAAAAGAGTTTGCCCAAAGCATCGCATATTGTCGTAAGTGACCTTTGTGTCTTGTTTTGGAATGCCATTGTTTAAGCCTGATGCGGAATGGTCCGTGACGACTCGAGGCTTTCCTTTTTGCCATACAACAAAAAGAGAGGAGGAATGCATTCCTGATAACAGCTGGTCGCGACTAAAACCTTCAGACCAATGGCCCAATTCTATTTCTTTGTCGCAAAAATTTTGAATAGTCTGGATGTCTCGCGACGTCGAAGCATAATTTGGGATAGGGTCTCTGTCATCATCCCAAATTCCCTCGTCAAATGGCCAGAAACCATTTCTCAAACCATCCATAACTGATTTGACAAAAGGCTGATTAGGATGATCGAATAGTAGGGTTTCAAATTTGTCGACGTCAAACGGCGTAAAAACTCAGATTCGGTCTTTGAATGTAGAAAGTGAAGCCTTGATATGTGGATCATTGATTAAGTGTTGTGGGAGCGATGCCAGTGGAAGAGAAAATTTGGTATCGTGTGCCGATGGGGAAAAGGGTCGTGTATTAATATTACTGTCCCATACAAAGCCTCGACGGAACCTAGGGTTGTCAGAAACAAGCGGAGCTGATTTTCTTTTGTGGTTAAGATTTTTAAGCGATTTTGTGAGCCTAAGATCTTCCTGCACTCCCGATAGCGAATCATACGCGTTTCCGCCGAACTCTGAGTTTTTCGAGACACTCGGGGTTGTCCCTGGCTCAGTGATTCTCACGACACTTGTTGCATAAACCGTGCCTCTGAGGACAATCCTCGTCATTGCACGTACCAAGGTTCCAATTCTGACAAATGGGGATAGCTTTCCGTTTTGGAATGGAACTCAATGCGAATGAGGTGGTCTGTTTCGACGCCTGATTTGATTTGATGACCTGGTCCGTGTACATTTTTTGAAGTCTGACCATGTCGTCAAGCCGGAATGGTTGATTGGCATAGTGGCTACGAGCGTCGATATCGAAGTTAAGAGTGGTGGATATACTATGGATTCCTCGCTGAAAGATGTCAATGACTTCTTCTCTGTAGACTCGCAATTCCCTCTGTCGGTGGGGATAGAAGAGGATAACTCCTTCAGCCCATGCGTCAAAACATCTGGTCCAACCAGACTGATCAACAATGGAACGCCTCTGGTTAACCTGGTCCTTTTTGATGAGGACAAAGTCGTGACCGAAATCTCGAGGATTGTCGTTATGATTGTAAGATGGTGCGAAGGTTGCATATAGCTTGGGAAAGTCGACAAATTGGTCGAGAATGATAAGTTTCCAGATTCCTTGCAATACCGGGTCTTTGACATATTGAGATCTTGCAAAATTGAGCAGTGCGTCCAGCACCCTTTCGGATGAGAAAACTCTTCTAAGTTCCTTAGTTTTCTCAACGTGAGGATCATCTGGTGTCACGTTGACCTTATCAGCAAGATAAGGGGCTGCTGCAAGAACTGAATCCGGGATTCCTGAATGGTGTTTCCTATCTCGCCCATCGTCAAAAAGCTCGACAAGCCTATCCATAAGGTTTGGCAACTCGGAGTGTTGGTTGGCGAAGGCAAAGCTAGTCTGCAACTCCTCCCAGCCACGATTATCTGAATCCTCCTGTCGCTCATCCACCTGAAGAGTTTGAGAACAATCACCCACTGCTTGATCTGCAGGGACTGGTGCATCAGGAACAGGCTCGGGAGTGGGAGTGCTAATCTGTCGTCTCTTGGATTTTCTAATGTCGATGCGCTCTTGAGCTTCTTGCACAAAGTCTCGAGCTTGATCCAATGAGACTCCCATGGATCGTAATCTTCTAAAGAATTTTTCCTCCAAAATTTTGGAGTCAACAAGGTCGTCGACAAGCCTCTGACAATCATCTGCTTGAGATTGAATATAATCGGCACTTTCTCTGGAAACTGTTCTTGTGGCGCTAGTGATATCAACTTGTTTGTCTGACTTCTGACCCAATGTGGCTTTGGACTTCTTGAAAAAAGGGATGTATCGGGATTTGGGTCTGACAATTGATTCGTGAGCTTCTGCCACTCTCGAAGTCGTATCACGAGATGATGAGGGAAGCGGTCTACGTCGTGTAGCCGACTCTGGACTTGCGTCCCAAGACAAAGAAAGCAGAGAGTTGTCATCGGACATAGATTTTGATGTTTAAAGAAATATATCGAAATGTAATTGATTGTACAGTCTCAATAGTTTCTGTCATAGTGACTGCTGTGAGTCGGTGCGGCAGTATAACAAAAATGTAACAAATAATCTTACAATATGAACCTCAGAAACTGCTGTACAATAGGAGGAAGATTAATGCTATAAGAAAGGAGTTCTAACGAGAGTTAGAATGTGAATGAGGATGCGAGACACGGCTGTCTCACTGTGGGATGGTAGTGCCTTTTGAGTGAAAATGGTAACGTCGGGTCCGACGTCGGGATGGCACTACTCTGTATGTATGAGATGGTCGCCTTGAGATAGCGAGCGCCCGTAACGCTCACCTGAAGATTGCACGATAGTGATGGGAGGAGTGAAGGTGCAATGTGAGACGTGAGTGATGTCACCATACTTTTCTGATGCGACATCGGCTCCACAAGAGCGTCGCTCAGATCGATAAAACCAAACACCTGTGAGTTGGGCTCGCGCAGTGGGCGATGAGGGAGGCTTTAGGGAACAGAGGTCTCACTTCTATACCATGTATAGGCGCTATAGCCAAGTGGTTACGGCGACAGATTCGAATCACTTGTACTAGATCATCTGTTCCTCTTTGAGGGCGCAGGTTCAAATCCTGCTGGCGTCGTATCAAACTCGAGAATGATTTTTCCCTTCCCCAAGTTTTGATTGGGACTTCAGACTGCTCTCACAGCATTCAAATTTCAAGGGATCTGTCTCCGACATTAAACGCATCAACCATTCTCTCCTTTAACTCGTCATTCATCCCCGCCCCCGCCCGACCCGTAACCAACCCTCTTTACCACGTATAGGCGCTATAGCCAAGTTGTTACGGCGACAGATTCGAATTACTTGTTTCTGCATTGCACCCGATCATCTGTTCCTCTCTGAGGGCGCTTCAAAACCTGCTGGCGTCGTTTATGGACCATCTGTAAGTCCTTTGTTTTGCAAAAACAACCCCTGCCCTATTCACGCTCCCTCAGAACCTTCTAAGATCCGAAATCCAACAAACCTATGCAGGAAGCATCGAAGAGTATTGAAGTTATACTTGCTTCCGAATACAATGACAGTGATATTTCATTAGCATATTCTACACTACATAGATCGGCAACACAACCGGACGATATAAACAACAACGACTATTTTAGAACTGGGTACCCAGAAACACAATCAACGCATGTAACGACACGTAGAAGGGAAGCCACACACCCGTATTTGATACGATCCGCTCGCTTTCGTGAGGTATCGGACCCACTTTACGCTCTGGTAGCTGCTCTTCTCAAAGACCTTGAGAAAGCGAACGATGAGACCCGACGATGTGAACATGAGGACTTGGAAGTCGACGTCGATTGGCGGCCGAGCCCAAACCTGACGTGTGGTGGTGCTTGCCAAACTTGCAGTAGCAGTAAACGTGCATTCCGAGCCGCCTTGGATTCGTGGTATTCTGGATGCAACCAGGTGTCAGGATGTATCAAGATATGCGAGAGCGAGAAGGTCAGACTTACTTCCACACAACGACGTTCTCGGCCGGTACATACTTCGCCTTTCCGTTGGCGACCTTGCAGTCTACGGTGGTAGTGTTGAGCGGTGTGGGTATCCGTAGCACAACGTTGGTTGCTGAGAGTTTGTTATTGAAGTTAGCTTTGACCGTGATGGCGTATGAAACCTGCGATGTGCCGATTTCGTTCACGGTAGGTATGATTCGCAGTGGAAGCTTGACGTTCGATGTGGATCGGTATCTAAGGCTGCGCATCAGTGCCAGAACAATTCGTCGGTATAATATATATCGGGCAACACTGACCGCATTAGCTCGAATTCTCCGTCTGGGGGTATAAAGCTGATCGTCCGAGTCGCATCAAAGTCGTTAAGCCGTACGCATTGGTGGAATCTGCAGTCGTCCAGTTCGACGGCGTCGCCAATCCCGCGTTCGCCCTTGTCGATGACAAGCTTGTCGTTGAGCCCAAATTTGCATTCCGGTGTGCCAGAAAGATAGGCTCTCATTTGTATGTGGCCGTCCACATCTGCTCGTAGTACAGTTCCTGTGCATGACAAATAACATGAGATCTAAATCAGGACCAATTAAATTAAGGAGACGCACCTTTTGCACTCATGCTTAAGTTCACCGTCTCCACAACGTCCACGAACGCCTCATTCTTCTTATACTTGACGTCGCCACGTCGCCAACTCGTCGCCCCTGTTGCTTGACTTGTAATTTTGGATGACTCCTCCTATAGGACCAGCGTAATGAGCACACAGTGATATATTGGACAGAGAGTGCGTACAACAGCAATTGCAGACGATACAACACTCTCGGTCGTTATATACGACTTGAGGGTGTCAATTTCGCTGTTCTGGGGATATCCGAAGTCATTTATTTCTGCATGACGAATCAGTACTCGGAACACCCTAGGAAAGTTAAACAGCAGCTCACCGTCAATGAGCTCATAAATCAGAACAAAATTATTCTTCACAGACTCCTCGTCTATCTTGCCGAAGTATGCCTTGGCCACATTGATAAATCGGTAGCAGAACTCGAAGACGAGCGCTGCGTTGGCGTTATTCCTGTTTCAGTGTAAGCAATGCCCAACGATAAGAACACGACGGCGCACTTCGTGATGGCGACCACATAGAGGTTGTTTATCCTGACATGGAAGAAACTTGTTGAACCCAGGGTGATGATAGGTGACCTGACATCGCTGTTGGAAACGACTTGAATTCGGAAAACGTCCGCGATCGATCGCCTACAAAATCCGAGTTAATGAGCACCTATACAAGGGATGGTATGGCCTAGATCACACTTGAAGTCGGTCCGGTACAGTCTTGAGATCAGGACCTATGTTTTGTTTGTGGGTACTCCATTTGCATCGGAATTCGCGCTGAGCTTAGCTCACCTCCCCCTTTTGATTGAAAATGAAGAACGCCTGGAGACCGGTAAGCTAAGAATCTACGCAGAGAATACCAACATACCGATATCATGGTAGGAGACAGGAACGACGCTCAGGTGGGCATGAGCTGGGGACGGATGAGAGGAACGGTTGATGGACGACCGTGATGAAGCTTCCGTTTTGGGACGTCGTGTTGACCTCATGATCAACAACCCATGTCGTCCCACCACATCTCGCGTAGAAACTCTGGTTTCCTGGAATCCAATAATAATCAACATACGGAGTTTATGCTGGCCTTTCGCATAGCCTCGGACGATTCTCGGCGCTACATGTACATTTAAACAACTGCAAAATTCTTTCTTTCTCAACCAAGTATCGACATGCCAGTGTCCATCTCTCGTTTGCTGCCTGCTCTTCTCTGCGCTTTGAGCGCGTCCCCAGCACTGGGAAAACTTACTTGGGGGACCACTAAGTTTTTGTTCGCATTTGGAGACTCCTACACTACCGATGGTATACCATAGACAGTATCATAAGTGTGGTCGTGAAGCTAAGAACCTGCCAGGTTTCAACATCTCCGCCGGTGTCAACTCTGTGGTCCCTGGATGGGTGGGTTCAAAGCTAAATTCAGTTTTCTAATGCTGATGTCGTTCGACAGACTTCTTCCAATGGGCCCAATTGGGTTAACTTCCTTGGTATTAAAAAAAAGACGGGAAAAAATAAATGAGTTTAACTAACAGTGGAACAGGTGGAACATACAACCAGACGGAGACCCAGGTCTGTAATCCTCGTGTTTCCTCGCACATACCGAGCCTGATTTTGAAGACAGGTTTTCGACCTTGCCTCGGGCGGTGCGACGATCGACGGTGCTTTAGTACCCCCTTATCTGTCTACTGTTCTGTAGGCTGTCTTATCTTCTACACTCCTACACGTGTCCTCAAATTTCTCCACCCAGCTCCATCGTAGACCAGGTCTCCCAGTTCAAGCAGATCCTCGCACCCAAGCCCTCTGGCGCACAATGGGACAGTTCTAACTCCCTCTTCGCCTTTTGGATTGGAATCAATGATGTTGTGAGTGTTATATATATACATATACTTGGAAACTTCAGATACTCACCAGAAATCAGGGTAACTCCTTTGGCTGGGTACGTACAGTATTCATTCAGACACAGATCGGAGGTTTCATTGTTCGACTAGACAAATATCACAGGACATGAGCCCGCCTTCTACTCGAAGCTCATGACCCGTCTGGACAGCCAAGTATGTTATTCATCCTCGTGTACTTCAGGTAATGCTGATATCACTCTAAGCTCGAAGACCTCTACTCCGAAGGCGCTCGCTCCTTCCTCTTCCTCACCGTTCCCCCCACCGACCGTGCGCCCTTGTTCTTAGAGCAAGGTCCGGAAGTCACTGCTCGGCTTCACCCTCTGATCGCCAACTACAACGCACAACTTACCACCACCGTTTCTCGGTTCCGCGCAAGACATCGTGACATCGACCAGGTGACGGTATTCGATACTCAGCCAATCTTCAACACGCTCCTCGACAACGCCAAGGCACTGGGCTTTGTGAATTCCACCGGATATTGTGAGGCTTATGAGAACGGAACCCCAGAAAGGACGACACAGATAAGCCCTTGTGCGCCTGTGTCAAGCTACTTGTGAGCTTCCGTACTCCTCCCCATGCCCTGGTTTCTCGTTTGTTGACGATGCCTATCAGCTGGTTGAACACTTTGCATCCTTTGTTCACTATTCACGAGTAAGTCTTTATAAGTATCTTGATTGTAAGATTATGATTGATTGACTATCCTAACAGCATCGTCGCACGTGGCATTTCGACCGCACTCAGTGCCTGACGCTCGATGTCGTACGGTGAAATCTAAAATCTCATCATTGAATACGTAAATCATAACTTGATGATGTCCCGCGGGAAGTGACTGCGCTCCGGGAAGAAACTGGAATTGATGATCGACACATGCGCCACAATTGATTAGAGATGAGAATCCTAAAGTTTAAAATTATAGCACTGCCACTCTCTTGCATGCGAAGGGCCAATCTTCCCATTCAACCTCACTTAAATAATCCTAACACTCTTATGCCATCGAAGCGGTGGTATGTGATTCTATGCTACTGTCTTTGAGAATCTTTTCCAGTTCTCGCTCTATCCAAGTCGTGGATATGGTGTCCTCCTGGAACTCTCTGAGCTTAATGTTACGATACACAATACACGCCATGATGTTTGTAAGTGCGACGTTGAGCACTGTGAACGCGAACCCGGAACCCAGCTGATAAATGTCACCAGGACGGCTGTTAAATTGGCTGTCACTGGCCCCTATCGATGGCCCCTTCAGCGAAGGACCTCTTTGTTGTGAAAGAACATGTAGTATATTTGTCCATCACGAAACAGAGCCTAGAAAGTGCCGGGAGATGTTGGCCTTTAAGCAATGCCTTAATGCCTGTAAGTTCACTTGGCGGCAGTTGTATAAATCGGAGCAAACGCCAGTAAATGGTCAGGAACATGCAGGTATTGTTTACCGCGAGGGTAATTGGGGCTACGCCTGCATATGGTTCAAAATAGACTTGGCTGGCGCAGCAGCGTGAACCAGAACTGGAATGAAGGCCGAGCATTGGATAAATGGAGACGACTAAGGAGCCTCCAAAAACCGTAGAACTTGAAAAAGAGCGCAGCGATGTACTTGTTGTTGAAGAAGACCGCCCGAACACCGAGAAAGAATAGGAAGAAGGTCGAGGAAAATGCAACGTTGTACAGCAAGCATGACATATGCACCACTGCGTTGGGGATCTCTCTCGGGTTGAGGGATGCGACTAGGATGGAGAGATCAATGGGTCAATGAGGGGGAGAATGAATTGTCAAAACCACGCACTTTGAACTA